TCTGAAACAGGCTCCAGGCTCTGAGCTAGCTGTCAGCACAGAGTCCGATGCGGGACTCGAACCCACGAAAGGTGAGATCATGACCTGAGCTGAAGTCGGACACTTAACCAACTGAGCCACCCAAGCACCCCAGCATTTTTCTTTTTCTAATGGGCCATTATATTACAAGAAATGTGGTCCGTGCCCTTTCTATTGAGAAGGCTCTTTCTTCTGCAGACGATCTCACCTAAGTCTGGCTATCTAGGTAAATACCTTCCCCAAAGAAGGCCAAACATTTAAAAGATAGAGAGTTTGGGGCACCTGGCTGGCTCTGTCAGAAGAGCGTGCGACTCCTGAACTCAGGGTTGTAAATTCAAGCCCCATGTTGTGTGTAGAGATTACTTAAAAATGAAATCTTTGACAGAAAATAAAGTAAAAGGTATAGAGTTCAACAGTACTGTCTGGGATTAAGCAACACCCACCTGATATTGGTAATCTTCTATTCAACTATTTCAAGTCAACAGAGATTGCCTCATTAGACAACGCTGAGGTCAAAGAGGGAATTAGGGCAAGGTGGACTCTCATTTCTTGCCAGGATAATCTCTGGATAATCTTGAAATCTATTTTGGGAATAACAGCTGTGGTTCTACATGGATCTCTCCTCATCTTTTGCAGGCCCGAGAAGGAACTCTCTGGGTGTCCCTCAGAGACAACTGGTAGAGTAATACAGGAGTGGAGCAGGAATCAGAAGACCGTTCCAGTTGCTTCTCTGGTGTAATTCCTCAGCAGCCAATGAGTTCTGGGGTTGTTTCATAGTCTTTTCAGAGCTCTGTTCCTTCCTCTATAAAATGGGGTGAAAACACTGTCCTGCTTACTTCACAAAGTCAACATGGAGCTCAAACTCAATGGCACATATGCAAATCTCTTGAGTGAGCAAACACATCAGGTCTTCTGGACTCCTCACCTGCGTTAAACACTAGGCCCTTAAGAGGGCCCACAAGCCTCAGCGAAAGGGACCACTGTTTACATGTCACACAGCTTGGGTCCTCTAATTGGCTGCCTGAGTTCTACCCTAGGTTTTAAATTCGTTTTAAAACAAAGATTGTGTTTGGTCACATGAAACTGCCTTAAATAGGCAATCTATAATTAGCTCCAGCTGAAGCCTCATCTTCCAAAGCCACTACTGTTGTCGTCATCCCTTTTCTTTCTTTCTTTAATAAGCCCTGCCCCTCTTTTGTCCCAGGTCGGGCTTCTGGCTCACATGCCCTTTACAAAGAAAATGTCCCTGGCTGGCTGCCATGGGTTTCTCTGCCCACTTCCATTTTAAGTCATTTTCCCTCTGCTGTCCCAGTTTCTTCCGAAATAAAGGCAGGTGCCAAAAACTGCTGGTTCATGTCTAAAGAAAACTTGACTTGACCTGTTGTAAGCTAGCAGGAGGCTCTGTGTAGTCACATGGCCTGGGTTCACCACTGATAAGCACTCACAGTGGATTCCTGCACAAACCCTAGCATCTCAGACTGGCCCTCTGGGTCACGTGAAGCAGCTACCAAAATTTGATACGGTGTTTTTCAAGGCCCATTTCAAACTAAAGGGCCCCCACGTTTGCTTTTGGTTTTGCTAGCTCTGCAAAACTGCAGACCTGCTTTTTCTGCATGTAGCTAATACTGATAGAATTTCAACAGGAAGCGGTATGGGGGGTTCAAGAGGGAGCCTGTCTTCCGGTGGCCCAGTTATTTACAAAAAAAGCAGGTTCTCTAATACTTCAATCATTGGCCACAGGACTTACTTGTAGGTAAGTGAATAAAACGGATCATCCTCAAGGTCTCTAAAGCTGAAAGAGTTGTTGAAATGGAGTCCATGCTAAATCCGCACACCAAAAGAGTAATAAAGCATTGTTTCATATCACAGAAGTGAGATAAGTCAGAGTCCAAGATTTTAGAGCCAAGGCGGCCCCAAGGGGCAAAGCTCTCTTTGGTTAATTAAAAAGTTTTCTTTTTAACACTTGAAAGAAAATTGGTCACTTTCTCCTTATTTGCCCTTACAAATTTACTACCCCCTCCCAATAAAAAAGGATTGGCGTCAATATCAGATGTGTTGTGAATCACAGTTGTCGCACAAGGCATGATATAAAGATATTGAGTACCTCCTGCAGCCAGATGCCCTCCATGTCCCTGGCATCTTAGGCTAGGTGGGTGGGTTCACAAAAGCAGAAAGGTTCACACAGGCTCACCCTTCACTGAGCCCAGACCCTCTGAGTTTAGCCAGCCTATCTTTCCAAATGACTTACTCATCAGATATGTATGGGAAAATACCTAGTTCGCAATGCCATTCTGTGTAAAACTCAGAAGAAAAAAAAAATCTTAAACTTGTCTCCAAACCTCTTGGACTTACCCAAAGCTTGTATCTTGCACAGTGTTACGCTTGGTCTTCCAGGCCGATCCTAAGTAGGTTAAATACCTTAGATGTTGACCCAATATACTATGGGCAGGAGTTAAAAACACCTTGCATATACCCACCCCGACCAACAAATGGGTTTAATTCACTGGTGTTTTATCAGAGGTTTTTTTTTTTTCAGATTTGGCTATGAGAGATTCTCCAACTGTTTTATCTACAAATGGCCTAAACACGCTAACTCAGGAGAGAAACAGGTTACTAGGTAAAGCACTCGGAAGTTCTAGCCCAGGCTGGAAATCAGGTTAAGCCACACTAGATGAAATACTTGGGAAGAGTGCCTGCGGCTATCAAGTCAGGTGGGGGAAATACCAGAGACAGAAGGGGCAGGGGCAGCCTCGGCTTGGGGTTCTTATAACGAAAGGACAGCACTTTTCTTTATGGCCATGCTCTGTCCCCCCATCCTCCTTGGCCAAAGCCCACTCCAGAACAGGGAGTAACAAATCCTAGGCTTGCAACGCTTTCACTTTTAGGAAGACTTTCCTCCCAGATTCTTCCACTCTAGATCACGATCCCATCTTCTGGATAAGCATGTCAGTGGGGATGAGCCTACGCGATGAAAACTGTCAGTCTTCACCCACATCCTCACAGAGCTGCCTCAAACCCCAGTTCCCATTTTTTCTAACTCCCACATGTTTCTGAGAGGAACCGGATCAGGGCCCACGGCTGGCATGGAAACGAGAGGGGAAGGGAGGGGTGCCGCTGAAGGATGGATAAAAGTCAGTGGGAGGGTGGGGAGAGCATCAAGCTTAGCTTGAAAGGTCAGGAGGTGACAAAAGGTGGCTCCCAAAACTTGGCCCTCTACCCTGGGGAAAACCTAAGCAAAAAGGGCTATTGCCCACCGGACAGCCCCAGACAGTGCCCACCTGTGCCAACGGAGAGCCTTTCCCTCTGGCTCAAGCACCCACAGAGGTCAAGAAGCAGCTCCACTCCCACCAGGGCATAAATGGGGTGTCCCACCCAGCCCAAGAGGCGGTCCACCAGACCTGGCACGCTCCCAGGAGCTGCTCAAGAAGCCGGGCTGTTCATACCTGTCACCAAGCAGCCCAGACCTGTCACCCCGAGCTCCCGGAACTGTGGCGCGAAGAGGCCCCCTCCCAGACCGCGCGGACCGTGCGCGCCGCCTACCCGAAGCTCGCCCTCGGTGCGGTGCAGTCCCAGGCGCCGCAGCCCCACGGCCAAGTCGTTGACACACAAGCCGCCGTCACGGTTGACGTCGAGGGTCTGGAAGAGGCTCCACAGGCGCAGCCGGTGGTCCGGGCCCCCGCAGACGGCGCCGCCGCACGGGTCCACGGACGCCGGCGACGAAGCGGACGACGAGGCGGCGGTGGCGGCGGCGTCCGGCGGCGGGGAAGCCACGCAGCGGCACAACACACTGCTCACCATCGGGCGCGAGACAGGGGCGCCGCGCGCGAGGCGAGGGCGGCTGGCCGGCGGGGAGAACGCGGAAGACACGCGGGAGTCCCCGGACCGCGAGCGCGGGATGGAAGAAGCCGGCAAGGGGGCGGGAGGGGCCGCTTCCGGGAGCCCCGCCCCGCCGCGCACCGCCTCGTTGGCCACGCCCCCGGGTGCGCAGCCGGCCAGTCACAGGCCCGGACGGCCATCTGGGCAGGGCGGAGCCTCCCCGGGGACCGCCCACGCCGCCGGGCACTGCCAGGATCAATGGAGAAGGCGGGGCGATCCCGGCTCAGCCTACGGCCGATTCAAACTGAAGGAGGTGCGGATTGGCTGAGCTGGGCCGGAGAGGGGAAATCACGCCGTGATAGGCAGAAGCTACGTGATTAGCAGGCGGAAGGCCCCGTGTCCAATTTCCATTAAGAAACGCTGTTGAGGGTGAGGAATCGTAAAGATGGGAGGAGCGGTAGTGTACGGAGACATCGTAGTCTCTGGTGGGAAGTAGCATTTGTGTGAGGAGCACTTGTGAGCTGAGGCGGCAAGGCAGAGTTTGTCCCCGTGAGTAGAATTAAAAATTAATTGGCCGGTGGCTCAAGGCGGAAAGCACTAGGTATCCTCAGGAGACCGGGTTTTGGTAATCTAACTCCCTAAACCACCAATAAAATAGCTGAATTTAACGGCGTTTAATAGTCGTAATACTGACGACTGAAGGACAGAACGGTTTTCCAATGGAAGTGAATAAAGGCAGATGGGCGGAGCGCTCTTTAGCGACAGACACACCTTTAGACCAATGATCAGGCCAATTCCAGTAAATAGGCGTGGTCTTTAGCTGAGCGACAGATCCAAAGAACCAGTGATCGACGTGATGTCTGAGCCGCGACCAACCAGGGAGGCATGTTGCCCCGGAGAATCTCTGGGAGGCGGGAAGAGGGGAAGTGGGCGGATCTCCGCACGCCCCGGCGGAAGAGGCAGATTCAGGAAGCCATTACGCAGCTGGCTGGCAGCGGCCGGGCCGGTCGGGGCTGGGCCCTACGCACTTTGCGTAGCGAGGGGGGTTACCAAAGGCCTGGTGCTTGGCCTTGGGCAAGCCCGGCCTATCCCCTGTAGGGGAGTGGGTGAGAGGCGAGGCTGAGGAAGAAGGGAAGGGGAATTGGGGCGGTTGAGGGGATTATAATTTCTTTGAAAAGGGGGGTGGGGAGAGGCCATGGCCGTCCCAGCCAAGAAGAGGAAGATGAACTTCTCTGAGCGAGAGGTGGAAATCATCGTGGAGGAGCTGGAACTGAAGAAGCACCTGCTGGTGAACCATTTCAACGCCGGGGTCCCTCTGGCTGCCAAGAGTGCGGCCTGGCACGGCATCTTAAGAAGGGTCAACGCGGTGGCCACCTGCCGCAGGGAGCTGCCGGAGGTCAAGAAGAAGTGGTCTGACCTCAAGACCGAGGTCCGTCGCAAGGTTGCCCAGGTCCGGGCAGCGGTGGAGGGTGGCGAGGCCCCAGGGCCCACTGAGGAGGATGGAGCCGGTGGGCCTGGGACGGGTGGTGGCAGTGGCGGCGGTGGCCCAGCTGTAGCCCCCGTCCTGCTCACCCCCATGCAACAGCGCATCTGTAACCTGCTGGGCGAGGCCACCATCATCAGCTTGCCTAGTACCACAGAGATCCACCCCGTGGCCCTTGGACCCACAGCCACTGCAGCCGCAGCCACGGTCACCCTGACACAGAGTGAGTGACCTCTCCCGCCCAGTCCGTCGTGCCTAAATGGGAAGGGCCAGCAGGAGCTGGGGCAGCCGGGGGAAGGTTGGCTGCAAAGGGTCAAAGGTCAGATGGGAGTCTTGGAAGACCACGAGGCCTTCCGAGAGCTCCACAGACAGAAGTGATCTGGTTCTCTTTGGGACTTCCTCAGCACACGGTCTGGACTCCTGATGGGCTGGATTGCTCCCAACTGTGTTGCCACCATTCATGTCCATGACTGACTGAACTAGGTGGTCCTTGAAGTCAGAGACCATGGCTATGTCCCCACGGGACTTATCACAGGGCCTGACACATAGTAGGCAGTCAGGACATATTTGCTGAATGAATAGATGGATGGGAAGAATAATACCCAAGTCAGGCATCGATTCTGGACAAAGACGTTCTGGGTTCTCAGTGCAGCAAACATTCATCAGGCACTGCTCAGAAACCTCATGGTTCCTGTGTTAATCCGTTTATTCACTCCTCCAACACTAGCACTTCCTTATTCTATGTCAAACATTGTGCTTGGCACTGGGATTGGATTACTGTTTAAATTTTAAAAAATTACTGTTTAAAATAACAGGCCAGCTATATTCTAATAGGACAGATGAGACACTCCCTCAGGAGAACCTAAGGACTCAGAAGAGGAAGGGGCTTCCTGATTGGGGTGGGGACCCAGAGCTGATGTTGGCATTGAAGGATAGAGAAAATTGACCTTTCCCACAGGCATGGAGGCCCAAACAGCCCACCCAGAATTCCTCCAGAGGTTCTCAGCTATGAATGGCAATGGTTTGGTCGGATTTTTTAGTTCAGATAAGAGTTTGTACCAGTGATTGTGAACTGCTTGGTTGTGCTGGGCTATGGGCCTGTATCAGTCAGTGATTCTCAGTGGGGCTCTGGGGAATTGCGTGTATATGTGAGGGCCATCCCCCCGCGGCCATGTTTTCTAAGGATATCAAGATGCTAAAGAGGATCGAGCGCTGGTCTAAATCAGTTGCTACTCTAGAACAGGAAGGACCTCTAGGTATTCCTTTGGCCAAGGAGACGGGAGGCATTTATTGGGCACTTAAGCAGCTGCTTGGCCATAAAAGAAGGAGGGAGGGAAGACTAGTGTGTGGCTGCAAACACTTCACACAGAGAGTCCCACCCAAGATGGCTGCTGAGAGCTGTCACTGCAGTGAGCACGTGGTGCCGCCATTATTGACTGGAGTGTCCCAGTGCGGTGGTTAGGAGCAAATTGGACTCCGGTGTTAGGCAGGCCCGGGTTTGCTTCCTGGGCCTGTTGAATAAAACTGTGTACCCATGGGCAAGTCACTCCATATTTTTCAGTCTGCTTCCTCATCTCCAAAACTGAGCACGACAGTGCCTGCCTCTCCGTGTCATTACAAGCATTCATCAAGCTACCGAGTGCAAAGGGCTTAGATGGTGCCTGGCACATAGTAGGTGCTCTATGCACTAGTATTATTAGCCTCTTTGGTTTCGCCAGATCTGAGACTGGTCCTTTGGTTACCAAGTAGATTCTCAACGCTCTAGGTTCTAGATGTATACAAGAATAGCTATAAAGCCAAAGGACCTGAATTCCCTCAGAAATACGGCTTCAGGCCTCCTCCCTGCCCCATGTGGCCAGCTTCTTTCTTTCTAGAAGGTGACCTGCCACTGCCTTTGCTCTTTCTTCCCCACAGTCCCCACGGAGACCACCTACCACACGCTGGAGGAGGGAGTGGTAGAGTACTGTACCACGGAGGCCCCACCAGCCCTCCCAGCCGAGGCTCCCGTGGAGATGATAGCTCAGCACCCTGACACTTCGGTCAAACCTCAGGCGCTCAAGAGCCGCATCGCCCTCAACTCTGCCAAGCTGATCCAGGAGCAGAGAGTCACCAATCTGCACGTGAAGGAGATCGCCCAGCACCTGGAGCAGCAGAACGACCTACTGCAGATGATCCGCCGCTCCCAGGAGGTACAGGCCTGCGCCCAGGAGCGCCAGGCCCAGGCCATGGAGGGCACCCAGGCAGCGCTGAGTGTCCTCATCCAGGTCCTCCGGCCCATGATCAAAGATTTCCGCCGCTACCTGCAGAGCAACACGCCCAACCCCACTCCCGCCTCGGACCCTGGACAGGTGGCCCAGAACGGGCAGCCCGACAGCATCATCCAGTGAGGACGGGGGCCGCCCCAGCCTTCTACTGTAATCGGATGACATCAGTGTGGTCTTCTAAGTGGGCTCTGTGACTGGCCTGAGGCTAGCGCTGGCCACGTGGACAGCTCTCTCTTTGTTAGACTGTGAGGGAGACTGAAAAGAAGTTGTTGGGCTCCTGGGACTCGAACTCTCTTACCCTCACCACTTGAGCTGCCTTGCTGAGAACCTGAAGATTGGTTGGGGGATGGGGGAGGCTGGACGCTGGTGCTGCTACACACGTTGTCACGAACCAAGGGTTGTGACACCACCCAGACTCTGTCTAGGACAACTGTAAGGAAGGTTCTGGCTGGGGGCCGTCTCCCAGCCGGGGTCTGTGCTGAACGGCTCCCCCTACCCGACCCAGTGTCATCGCTTCGAATAAGATGTCAGTGGTGCTGGTAGTGACACAGTAGCGGGGCCTGAGGAGGAAACTCCACCCTTTTCTCCTTTGCACTGTGCCTCAGTTCTCAGGGGATTCTAGTCAATCTGTGCTCTCCTCACTACCCCCCCCCCCCCAACCCTGGGCTGGCTCTGCAGTACACCCAGCGTGCAGCCCTCTGGGCTCAGGAATGCTGGGTGTCATGGGGACTGATTGGCCACCATCTTGTCTTCCACTGGATCCCTGGGCAGCCCGTTAGTGGTTCATCCTGAAAGCTTTTGACCCAGGTCAGGCATCAGGCTTTGGGTGCTGTAAATTTGAGAGAAAACAGACCCGCGTGGAAACATGTTGCCCCCCGGCTCCCCTGCAGTGAGTCTGAGGTGACCGGTTGGCTTCTTCCAGAAGGCTTGCTTCAGCACAGTTGTATTTATTCTGTGCCTCGGACCCCTCCTGGGAAAGAGGGGGCAGCTCTGGCCACACCCTTCCTCCTTTCCTCTTCTGACTCCGTGATTCCGAAACTCAGTGTGGGAAAAAGCCTGCTCAGCATCCTGCCCCGGACTCCCTCTTCCCTTATTCGGCGCCTCATGTTCCTGCGAGACTCCCACTGGCTGGGTGAATCTGAAGGCCTGATTGGCCCTGAATGTTTGAGGTGGGAGAGCCAGAGCTGACCTAAGATGCGGGACCTTTGACTTCCGTGCTCGGGGAAGAGCAGATCGACCTCAGAGCGCTGAAGAAGGTAGTGTGCCCTTTCCGCCTCGACGCTCTGTCGCCTTTTGTAGGGCATTTACCCAGATGGCGTTTGTCTGTTTCATTTTCAGAATCGCCATCCATCACTGAGACCCTGCGTCTTCCCAGATCATTCCCCAGGACCGCCATTTTGCTGCCGGTGCCTCGGCCACACGTGACCAGCGATTGCTACTTGAGGCTCCAGATCTCAGCTAAACCGTCAAGGTGCTGCGCTTCTAGGCACGTGTGTTTGGAATTGCTTGCTCCGTGGTTGCAGCCACAGCAAGGTGCCCCCAGAGATGGTCGGGAGGTGACTGCCGGATGGTACAGTCAGCCTCTCTATGGAGGGCAGGGGCAGCGCCAGCTATAGAGCAACGGAGAGGAATCAGGCTGGGGAGGGGGTGAGTGGAGGAAGGAAATCGCCACAGGCTGGAAAGCAGCGGCCCCTGGCAGCCCGGGCACACTCCCTCCGGGGAGCCTGACGGCCCTGGCAGGGAGGCTGTGGGGCCTTCCTGCGGACTTGCCACTCAGTTTGCTTTGTCTCTGGGGTTGGCAACCTGAGCCAGTATTGCATCTGTTCTGATTGGGTATAAAGAGGAATCCTGGGTGATCACTTAAACTGACTACTTCTTGCCAGGTCATAATTTTAAATTAAAAACATATCACTTTTTTTTTTTTTTTTTTACACATATCTGTGTCTTTATTGGTTATAGGTAGGAGATAATGGGCTGGCAGAGAACAGGGGCTGGCATAGTATGGCCCAGGGGTCAGATCTGGCCCAGCACCTGTCTTTGTCAATAAAGTTTTATTGGACACAGCCACAACCCTTCATTTACTGAAAGTCTGTGGCAGTTTTTGTGCTCTGGTGGCAGGGCTGAGCAATTGTGACAGAGACATCTGGCCCACAGAGCCAAAGGTATTTACTGTCCTTGATAGAAAAGTCTGCTGACCCTCAGTTTAGGGCAATTTTTCTGACTCTGGGTGAGAATTACTTGGGCTGTTTGGTAAACCTGACCCCAAACCTGACCCCACGTAAAAGCTAGAAGAGACTGCTGGGAGGAGAGCTCTAAGAATCTGCTGTGTATACAAGCTCTCTGGGTGATTCTGGTATTTCCTGAAGATTACAGACAAACTTTGCCTTAGTGGCTGGAAGACTTAATCTCGGCTGGATTCACAAATCGTGGGATCACGGATCATGTCCCAGGGAAGGTGGTTCTCAGGAGTGGCTACTGACAGTTGAAAAATCCTGCCTAGCAAATATTCTTTCTTAAGAGCAGCCTTAATTCTGGAGGGAGCCCAGCCTTCCTGGACAGAGTTATCGCTCTCCCTCATAGTTAGTAATAATAAAAACAGAATGAATCAAGCCCCTGCTCTGTCTAGACCTTACAAGCATTACCTCATTGACTCTTTGCAATAGCCCCATGATTTAAGTAATAATACTGTTCTCAGTTTGCAGATGAGAACACTGAGGATCAGAGAGGTTGAGCAATTTGCTTAAAGTCACACAGCTACCTGATTCTCTGGGGTGGCCTATGCTCTTAACTATGCTAGTCTTGCTGCCAGTCAGATGTGAAGTCACCTAGAGACCATTTGAGCCTAACCTTAAGAAGTTTCTAGGTCAGGGGCGCCTGGGTGGCTCAGTTGGTTAAGCGTCCGACTTTGGCTCAGGTCATGATCTCACAGTTCGTGGGTTCGAGCCCTGCGTCGGGCTCTGTGCTGACAGCTAGCTCAGGGCCTGGAGCCTGTTTCAGATTCTGTGTCTCCCTCTCTCTCTGACCCTCCCCCCCCCCCCCCCCCCCCCTCTCTCTCTCTCTCTCTCTCTCTCTCTCTCTCTCTCTCTCTCTCTCTCTCTCTCTCTCTCTCTCTCTCTCTCTCTCAGAAATAAAACATTAAAAAAAAAAAAAGTTTCTAGGTCAGATGAGGAGAGCCAGGAGGCACCGCGTGCTATATTGTTCTTGGCACTTGAAAGAGAAACACAGTGACCTCTCTCTTTCTGTACAGGCTTTGGACATTCATATCAAGAGGGAAAAGGATGGTTTAACAGAATTAAACCCACTTCACTTTGATGGTGCTCCTGGAAAACTGTCAGTTATACTGAGGTGATTTTTTTGGAGTCCTTCGTGAAATGTGGGAATTTGCAACAAGCAAGTCCTCCAACCCACTGAAGCTTACAGGTTCAAGTAGTGGAAGCCTTTTTTTACATTTTAAACCATTTTGATGGAAATCTTTCAGAAAGGTGTCCTTTGTGAACTATAGTCTGCCAAGCAGGACCAAGAGACCAGCAAAGGCCCTGGGCTCAGGCAGGCTGGGGCTTGAGCTGGGTCCCGCCATTTACTCACTGTGTCTCTTACCTTTGCCAGACCTCAGTTTTCTCAGTTCTAAAGTGGGGATGATGAATTACAGCCCCTGCATGCCAAGGCTATTATGCAGTGTTATTCAATGGAAACAGCTACTATTTATTTTTTTATTAGTTTTTTTAAAATTAATTTTTTTAATCTTTATTTTTGAGAGTGAGACTGAGAGAGACAGCATGTGAGCGGGCAAGAGGCAGACACAGAATCTGAAACAGGCTCCAGGCTCTGAGCTGTCAGCACAGATCCTGATGTAGGGCTCAAACCCACCGAACTGTGAGATCATGACCTGAGCCGAAGTCGGACACTTAACCGACTGAGCCACTCAGGTGCCCCAATTTTTTACTGATTTTTTAAAGTTTGTTTATTTATTTATTTTTGAGAGAGTGAGCATAAACGGGGGAGGGGCAGAGAGAGAGGGAGACAGAAAATCCCAAGCAGGCTCCCCACTGTCCGCACAGAGCCCGACTCAGGGCTCGATCTCACAAACCATGAGATCATGACCTGAACTGAAATCAAGAGTTGGACTGAGCCACTAGGCACCCCAAATAGCTACTGCTTATTGAGCACTTACCATGTGCAGACACTGTTCTAAGCACTGTATGTATTAACCGATTTCGTGAGATCGGGGACGTAACACCCAGCCTGTGCCTAGGATATGACATGTGCTCAGTGAACACTGGCTGCTGTCATCATTACTGCAGTGCCTTGATACTCCAAAGGCACTGTGAGTCTTGAGATCACAATGGGAGCTTTGGCCAAAGTGGTTTGAGCTTAAGATGGCAAAATCATTTATTTGTTTGTGATTTTGCAGTATGAGCAGGGCTCAGAGAGAGTGGCTTCTCTCTCTCTCTCTCTCTCTCTCTCAGTGTCCACTGGGGCCTCATCCTGGGCCCGGGAGATCCACTTCCCAAGAGAGCTCGCTCCCATGTCTTTCAAGCTGATGATGGATGGTGGGCTGGGAACGCCGTGGGGGCAGGGAGCTGGGGCTGGCACCTCAGTCCTCTCCATGGGCTTCTCCATGCGGCTGCTTGGGCTCCCTCACAGCATGCTGTGGGCTTCCGAGAACAAGAACTGGAAGCTGCTTGTCCTCTGGCACAGCAACACTTTGCTTTTTCACTTTTTCTCTTGGTCACGCAGTCACCTGGTAGCCCGGATTCAAGGGCCTGAAGGAAGGAGACCCCACCTCTTGATGGAGGTGTGGCTCTTGCAAAGGGGGAGGGGAGGAACTGAGGAGGCCATGTCTGGAATCAAGCTAACTTGCTGCTTTTTTTATAAATGGGGGGGTCAGGACTCCTGATCCATGAAAGACAGCCTCTCCTCCACATTCCTGCATTCCACCAATCAGGAGAGAAGGGAGCTCCCCAGATTTTGAAAGAGACCTTATTGAACTTCCTTTCAATTTCCTGGAGCTTTGAGCCAAGAGATTAGAAAGCAAAAACCCTTGGCAGGTAGGGGTGGGGGGTGGGGTGGGTACTTCAGCTCCTTCTATCCTGGAAATCTTTGCATATTAGAAAGGGGCCCGGGGCTTGGAGGGACCCATCTGTGCAGACCTGCTTGGAGATCTCTCTGGAAAAGACTTCCTGACCTGCAGGGAAATTTGAGACGATTGGTCAGGGCTGGAGAGAAAGGCAAGGTGCTTGCTGAGAGGAACAGGCAGGGACAAACCCACTCTTTTTAAATTAAGATGAGGGGCGTCTGGGTGGCTCAGTCGGTTAAGCACCTGACTTAAGCTCAGGTCATGATCTCACAGCTCGGCTCGTGGGTTTGAGCCCCGAATCGGGCTCTCTGCTGTCAGCAGAGCCCGCTTTGTATCTTCTGTCCCCTTCTCTCTCTGTCTCTCCCCCACCTGTCTAAATGAGTGAATGAATGAAAGAGAAGATGAGCTAAAGTTGGCATGGATATTTGCACAGGGGGATGTCGTTCTCAAAATGGCCTGTCTGGTGACAGATATAGAGGCTGTGCTGGAATGTGCTGGTTCTCTGTCAAATCCGGGCCATCCATCACCTTCTGTGTCAACTCCTGGGGCTCAGCCTGGATCTCACTTCCTCTAGAGGCCCTTCCCAGCCTCCCACGGGCCTAGGTCCCCCCCTGCTGTGCACCCCCATGGCTCCCCACACTATTCTCCCTAACTCCAGGGAGTCCACATGGACTCCCTTGTTTTCCAACGATCCCCTCACTGGGAGCTACACAGTTTCAGCAGCCTTGTCTGCTTTGTTCCTGGCTTAGCCCAGCTCTGAGAGTGGCACCCCCACTCCCCAGCTACCCGAGCTAGAAGCCCAGGCCACATCCTTGTTGCCTCATCCCTCACATCCTCTGGTTGTTAAGGCTGCTGATAGCTCTCAAATCTATCCACCTCTCTCTCTCTCACCTGGGTTACCTACAGCATCCCCCTCGCCCACCTCCCTGCTTCCAGACCCTTCTGAGGAGAGTCTTCAGAAGCAAAGCAAACCAGGCCACTCCCTGTTCTATCCTTTCAGTGACTTCCCTCAACTCTCAGGATGAAGTGTAAGCTCCCGAATGTGACCTACAGGGGCCTCTCGTGGTCTGATGCTGCCTCCCATCTTGTACTTCATTCCAGCCACAGTGAAAGTTCACTTCCTTATTGTGAGAAGTAAGTGATTCATTGTCAGAAATACCAAATAAAAGCTGTGCTGTCTACTTAACAATAGGATCATAACCTATTGGATCTATGTACGAACCCCTCTCCCCTGCACAGTGGAGTCCCAAACCCTTAGACACTTCACTTCCTGGTTCTTTCCCTCTCCATTTCGGGGTTGGGGAGCTTATTTTTTGTGGGCTTTGCAATGAGCGTGTGCCAAAGAACTGAAGTCTCTGTGTCACCTCAAGGAATGTACATTTGGTCCAATCAGACTACTTTTTGCCTTACACGGGCATAGGCGACATCCGAGTACGGCTGTAACCTCTGTAGCGCTCAGCCAATGAGGAATCAGGGGAGGGACTTCATGCTAGGAGATAAATTATCTGCTGTAGCCGCCCAGAGTGTGCCTGCCCGTCAGACACCTGTTCTTGCAAGAACATTGCTGAAAGCCTCACTTCACTGTGCTCCGCATCTCTGCATCCCTCCTTTGATTGGGTCAGTGGGCTTATCTCTCACACTTGTCCTTTGATTGTATATCTCCATAAAACTGGGAGAAAAAATAAAAATAAAAGTTTACTTCCTTAAAAATGTCAGGCTGTCTCTACCCTCCAGACCTTTACCTTTGCCGTTCCTCTTATTCAGGACAACTTTCTTCCTCATCACTTTCCTAACTTCTATTCATCCTTCGCATCCAGCTTGGGTATCACTTCCTCCAGGGAGTCTTCCTGGGTCCCACCCTGGGCTTTCTTTCTCGCCTGTTTATCACATTGTAGTGCAATCGCATGTTTAAATGTCCGGGTCCTGCTGTAGGAGGGTGTCTCAACCTCCGCATGATTGGTTTTTTGGACTGGATCATTCCTCAGG